GGATAAATTTCCTGACAGAACAATTAAACAGTGGAACAATTTGCCTCCAGAAGTTGTGGGTGCTCCAACACTGGAAGTTTTTAAGAAGATGTTGGATGAAGTGGTTTCCTGCCTAGGCAGGGGATTGGAATAGAAGACCTCCAAGGTCCCTTCAACTTTGTTATTCTACGCTATTCTAAGTCTTCTTGTTTACATACCCAACATTCAGAAAACTGAGAAAACTATCTCTCAAATGTCAAGTCTCCTGGTCTTTCCACTACTTTTTTTCAAAGAAAAACTATTTCTCATAATTACTAATTGTTTCATAAAAGTAATCATTTCACAGTAGAGAAAAATATTTTTTTAACAGTTGCTAAATATCCTACTAGTCGTAATAGTTAGATTTTCATTATATAAATAATAGAATGCATTACAAAATAACTAAGTAATTGGGTTTATACAAAAAGCTAAGCTATAATCATACATGTATGCCCATATTCACTAACCAGAACTAAAACTAACTACAAGCAGTCCACCGGGTGATTGCAACCATCACTGTTTTCACTAGTCTGATTAAGCTGTTCATGTGAATACATCCAAAAGTTTTCCTTCTAAATCCAAAACAGTAGAACATCTCTCCTCCATCAACCTTTACCTTTAAGGTACTATTCAGAGCTCGGATTTTATGAAGTTTCTCATTTACAGAAGGGTTTTTGCTCCTTTTGATAAAGGACTTTCTCAACTCTTTTTTAGTAGAAGGTCGCCGGTCCCCAATGGGAGATAAACTTGCTTGCTCTAAAGACTTGTATAGTTTCTCCATTTCATCCACAGAGCATTTGGTACGATCTGCATGGGAGATAAAAGAGAGGAATCTGTGTTAGAGTGCAGATGAGCTATTTTTTTTTTAAGTAAAGCATGGTCGGTGAATGGGAGAGGGCTTTTTCTGGTGACCTGGAGGAAATTAGGGGGAAACATAATTGGTGTGTACCAAGGACCTGTGGGTAGCCAGAAGAACTGAGGCGGAGACAGGAATAAAGGCTAACAAGTTTTTATTCCCTAACAAGTACAAGCTAACATTCAGAACCGGCTTAGGACAGGAATGCGCGGCTCGTTTGGACAGCTCCCTATTTATACAGGAGCTGTCAAACGATCAGCCAATCAGGTGTCGAGCGCTTCCCGCCTGAACTCTTTATTTAACACATGCTCAGAACATAACACTCCTCCCCCCTAAGTTAGCGCAAGCGTAGTCTTGCAAATATGTTGGACGCCACCTGATTCGTCCGGACGCCCTAGGCCCTTCTGCACCGCTTGGGGGCTCTAGTTGCTCGACCGAGGACTCTGCGGCGGAGGATGGTGATCGCTCGGGCCGTCGAAGAGCAAAGGAGGGTGCTGGCCCACCAAGTAAGTCGCCGCTTCGGCTTGGGGCACTGGCTGCTTGTTCTCCTTCGGCCTCCTCGTTCCGGGGCCCCGTG